GAGACCCCTGCAAAAAGGAGCGGACCGAGTATGATGGGAACCAAAACCAAAGTATCTCTACCCTTTACTTCTCGTATTTCTGCAGAACTGTCACTGTGGTGATCACGTGAAGAGAATTCAGGAACACATTATTGTCTCCATGAGAAAAAGCAAATAATTAATGTGCACACGTTGACCAAAACACTCAGGTTCAAAAAAATTAATTTAATTTTTATGTTCCGAGAGAACAATTTAATTTGGTACTTTTTGCTCCTCAAATTTCTCAAATAAGATGCAATTAAGTTTGTCTTTTCACGTTTTCTCATGTTATGATAGTCTACAGCTAAGAATTGTGTGTTTAATTAATTTAGAAAATATTAATAATTTATCTAAGTTTTAACTCAATTAAAATTCAGTTATTAAAATTTAATTTATTTTAATTTAATCTTTATAATTTTAATTCAATTACAAGTCAATTTTTACAACCACATAAATACTGCTTCTGTAGGCAGAGCCTATGAAAATCCTTCCCAGTAAAAGCACTCTTGTAGACCTTGCTTATTAGAGCACTTTCAAAGTGCTCTTGTATTCATGGGATCGTCTAGATAAAGCGCTCCAATAGCCCAAAAAAAAGGTGTCTAGGAAAAGCACTCCAATAGCCCAAAAAAGTAAAAAGCGTTCTAATAGAATTTTTTTTTTTGATAATAGCATAAGACTAGAGTTATTTTTTTAAAAACTTATAAACTAAGGTTAAATTATACAATATTCCCCTGAATTTTGAATTACGTACGTATAATTTTATTAACCTTTAATACTTACAATTAAACCCCCTCAACTTTTATATTTATACAATCTATATGATCTGATAGTACTGGCTACTGAGTTTTAAATATTAAAAAAGATATAAAAAATATCAAATTATAAACACAACTAACCGTTATATGAGGGAACCATAGTCGTGTTATACATGTTCATCTTTTCTCACTTGGCGGTTTTCTTTTTCATATCATCGCATTATTATTATTTTTGTTAAGAAAAGAAAAAGACCCAACTAGGGTCTATTGTTGCAAATTCGAATATAATCAATGCCTAGAGCATCATCTGGTGGATGATCTAGATTATGCACACCCATATTCGTGGCAATAGCCAAAGAAGCCAAGAAATTGGCATGTTTATTTCCTTCACAATGGATGTGATTAATCTTGACTTGCCACCCCCTATGTATAGTAGGGAATGGACCTGCAAAATCATTTTGCTGTTGGCATTCACATAAATAGTATCTTTTGACAAAAGATACACAGCTAGCAGACAGTGAACATGTAAATTAACTTTTTCTAAAACCTTGCTCCCACACCATATTTAAACCATCAGACATAACCCATAATTCTACATGTAAAGGGGTGCACATTGCGATAGCATCCATGGGTCCAAGAGCCATCATAACCCATAATTCTACCTGCTCGACCATCGTTGCTTGTGGCTGCACCATCACAATTATGAGTCACCTACTCTGGAGGCCAGTTAATGTTCTGCATAGACTTGGTTGATGCACTTCCCTAAGCTTTCCGGAGAGCAACCTCTCTTTAAGAGTAAAATCTACCAGCATGTACCTTAGCAACCAGCTAGTCCCCTTGCAAAGAACAATTTTGAAAGATAAATTTGCTACAAGCATCCAACAGTTTCCAAAAAATGAGACCAAAAGTAGAAGCCTAAGTAGATCTCATGTTATTATTAGCAGTACATCCATATAAATTGTGTAGCATCCACTTCTCCAATGGCTCAGTCAGAATTATTATATATATATATATATATATATGAGATATGAAGAATAAAGACGAATGTATGTAGTAATAACTAATTTTTATATGATTTGAAAACTATAGTTAAATTAAGATTATATATATTTATATATATTTATAGAAAGGAAAAATTGTAAAAAAAAAATAATGATGGTTGGGTTAAATGAGCTTGACTGAAATTAAATGTCGATTTAAAATAATCTAACTACATTTACATTGTAATTTAGTCTACTTGGTCGTTAGATTTTATTTACATGGTGATTATATTTGTTTATATGCTTTTGAACATACACATAACAAATTCACCAATAAGACACCTATATTTTCATCAATTTCATTTGTTCTCACTTAAGTCTCCTCATGTGAAAATGGATTTTAATTTTAATTTTTAACTAATATTTCCATCCAAAATTAATCTCAAACCCTAAATATTTTGGCCACTTGGATATTTATAGCTGACCTAATTTCTTTTGCTCATGCATCACGTTTTATAAATGACTGTTGACTGGTCAAAGTCAACCACCAAACTTGTCATTATTGTAATTTTTTAACTGGATAATCATTTCCATTCTTCCATCCATACATTTCAGGAGTCACATTAAAGGGTTCACATCCACATCTGTATTTTTATTTCGAAAACTTCTATATAAAGTATAACCTGTATGTAGTTTTGCAAAACAAAAAAACAAAAAAGAAAAATAAAAAACACTCATAAACACACAATATTTCAAAAAAGGTAAAAGAGTAAATTGGTCCTTGAACTATAAATCCATGAACATTTGGGATTCTTAAACTCATTTTTATTACAATGTTCTCTTCAACTTTTGAAAACAATACAATCTGGCTCATACCATTAACAAAAGTCAATTTTAACTGTTAGTCGACGAGAAAATGATAGGAAAGAATCAATAAAATTTTTTTGGTCCTTTTATATATTTTTTAGGTCATTAATTGTCTGTAATTTTTGTGCCCTTTACTATAATTTCTTAGTTTTTTTCTACAATTTTTAGGGTTTTTTTTGTCATTTTTGATCAACTAACAGTCAAAGTTAACTTTTTATTAATAATAGGGCTAGATTGTACAATTTTTAAAAGTTGAAGAGGAATATTATATCAAAAATGTGTTTAAGATATCAAATATTCCTAAACTTATAGTTTAGGTACCAATTCGCTCTTTTACCCTTTTAAAAAACGTTGTTTTAAAATAATTTTACAATACAAATGCACGCACAATATTTTAATTATAAAACACTATACTAGTATATTATTGAAAATAAATCATATACTTTTCATAAGGGTTAATAAGCAAATAGGACCCTGAACTAAAGAATCAAAAATCACCTTAGATCCAAAACTTTTAAAATATATAAAGTAAAATCTAAACTTTTAAATTCATAGCAAAATAAACACTGACTGTTAATTTTTTAATACCGTTATAGTCCATACAATTACTGTTTAGGGTTTATTTTTCTACAAATTTAACCTTGATTGTTACAGTACTCGCATGGACAATAATGATGTTAAAAAAGTTAACGATCAGGGTTTATTTTACTATGAATTTAAAAGTTTAAGGTTTATTTTACATTTTATAAGAGTTCAGGATTCAGGACAATTTTTAAGACAACTCTCAACAATGAGAACATATAAAACCGAATTAAGTCCTAATTTTTAATGTTTTAAAACCTGGACCGGATGTTGAATTGAAAAAATCAGCGGTTCTTGATTTTTATAATCTAACCGGATAGTCTAGCGGTTGGATCTATAATATAATAATTAAATAAAAGTAATATTAAATGTATATATAAAACAATTATAAGAAACAAATCTATAATATGCCTAGTTGTTAATCAAATAACATAACATGACTTGTAAATTAACAATATTAGAAATTATAATTTTATAATTTATCAAAGATGTATAGATCTTAGTTCAATTACATATAAGTAGACTTAAAAGTGTCTGTTTTTATACATATAATTGTCAACATCTTTATAAAAAATGGTTTCAAATCATATTTTATAATGTGAATTATTCAAAAATAAAGTTGGCTTTTAGTAGGGAATTAATTTTTGAATTTTTTCTTTTTCCTAAATTTTTAAGTTTTTTTATATTATATTTAAAATCATCTGATTTTTTGAAACCGCTCTATTTCTCGGCCGGTTCAACTCAAGTTTCTAGCTTAATAATATCTCAACTCTGGTCCAATTTGACTCAATCATGAAAATAGGTTTTTGATCCAAACTAAGTTGTTACCATCTCTAGTTGATGATCCAACCAGTTTGACCATTCAATTTGGTCCAATTTTTAAAACAATGCTTATTTCTTTTGTCCACACACCACATTTTATAAGGGATTGTTGACTCCTCTAAGTCATCAACGTAACTTGTCACTATCATTTTTTAATTGGACGATCACTCATCCAACCAAGCAATTCAAGAATCAGAAAAGATAAAATTGCTACGTTGTATATTTATCACACATGCATGTATGTATTTCCGTAACCAGTGGTGTCTTTTTCAACCACCGAATTGTTACATGGGAATAATTATTGTATGATCTTTACATATAAACAAGAAAGACATGGAACAATAACTATATAAAGATAATTAACTATCTATAACTAAATAAAGGTTCCTCAGATATCTAATTATTTATTGAGAAAACAAAATAAGAATATTTGAGTTTGAATTAGATGACAGTACTAAATATAAAAATGATTTCATATCCTATGTGCAGATGTCACATTATAGTCATACGTAGAAAAAGAATAGAAAATGTAAGTAAATGTAATTTATAATAAATGATGTTCAGTATAAATAAAAAAATTGAAACCATTAATTGTAATTTACAATTTCACATTCACTACCTTTCTAATATTGGAACCGTAATGTATAATTTTTATTTGCAGTGATTTTTTTGTCGGGTAAAATTTTTACTGATTTCATTGCAACAAATGATAACATGTGGAAGTATGTAAAATGAATGTGGATTTTAAGTAAAGTACTTCACGAAGAATGACCACTGAGAACCCCAGTGGCTAGGAGAAACTTAATAAAATCTTAGTCTCATTTTTTTTTTTTAAAAAAGGTGTCATTAACTGAACTTGTAGGACCCTATATGCGGATTAATCTTCCGCATGAAAATCCCTATAAATTTCTCCCCAAGGCTTCCCATTTCCTCATCTCTCATTTCTTCATCAAACACATCACACAACAACAAAACAATGGAGCTATCTTCCAGGCTTTTATTTTCTCTCTTCTTCTTTATCTTTGCCCTTATGGCCTCAGCTCAAGATTCACCACAAGACTATGTGAATGCCCACAACGCAGCAAGATCACAAGTGGGTGTTCCAAACATAGCTTGGGACAATACAGTTGCTTCCTATGCACAGAACTATGCCAACCAACACAAGGCTGATTGCCAGCTGCTTCATTCCAATGGCCAGTATGGGGAGAACCTTGCATGGAGCTCCGATGACATGAGCGGCGCGGATGCCGTGAAGATGTGGGTGGCCGAGAAGGCAGATTATCACTATGACAGCAATACATGTGATTCAGGTCAGATGTGTGGACACTATACTCAGGTGGTGTGGAAGAGCTCGATTCGTGTTGGGTGTGCTAAAGTGAGGTGTGACAATGGAGGCATTTTTATTACTTGCAACTATGATCCTCGTGGCAACATCATCGGACAAAAACCTTACTAGTTTATGAAGTAATGCATTTGTGGTTTGATTATGTATTGTGCTTATTAAGGGCCTAAGAACGCCTTTGTGTTATGAATAATGTAATGGGTTTGATCTTAATGAGATTGAAAACTGTTTGATTTTAGTGACGAATAATGTAATAGGTTTGATCCATATACTTAAAATGCTTTTTTTTTTTTTTTTAAGAGATGGTTGAATGTTGTCACTATCACTGCCATAGTTACTGGTCGCCGGAGGGGGAAGATTGCTACTATTGGCTATCAAAGCCTTGCGCCGACAAGATCGTCAATTGGGGTCACCATTTTTAAGGTGACTAAACACACACAATTCCCCCTCCACACACACGTCAATATTTAAGAAACAAGTTTAATAATAATTTACAAAATTAACAATTTGTTAAAGAAATTCAAAAAAAAATTTCTTCTTACACAAAAGATATGCATAGAACTATAGATTTTATGTAATACAAATAAAAAACACGATGTTAGTAAATATAAAAATTAATAAATATTTAAAATTATTTATATAAAAATATTAATACTAATTTCATGTATAAATTATGTCACCACTAATTTATCTTTCTGGATCTGTTACGGCCTCCACAACTTTCATAAATTATAATTTTTAATTTCATAAATAAACTATACTTTTTTTCCTCATGAACATGATTGACCTTATTTTCCCTCCAAACTATGATCATTTTTTCTCTTATTTATTTAATCAATTTAATTTTCATCCGTTCGGACAACAATACAACTCCTTCTTCTTCAAATACTTATTTTCTTTGGCCTTTCGACAGAAATTCTCTTCATATGATTTTATTTTATTTTTATATATCTATTTGAGTACGTTAAATTGAAGGCTTAATTGAAAGTAATTCTTTTAAAAATATTATATATATATATATATATATTTGAACTTGAAACCTTGTGCTTAATTAAATGGCAAAAACTCCTTCCATTATGACCAAAATTGCCTAGAATTGCTGAGTTTTATCTTTGGCCATTATAAATACTAAAAGTTTAACCTTATCTCTCTTGATTATAAATTGATGCAAAAAGAAAAACATTTTTGGAATAAAATAATTAATAATCCACAATTCTTGGAAAATGATTTAAATTCATGAGACCCCTGCAAAAAGGAGCGGACCGAGTATGATGGGAACCAAAACCAAAGTATCTCTACCCTTTACTTCTCGTATTTCTGCAGAACTGTCACTGTGGTGATCACGTGAAGAGAATTCAGGAACACATTATTGTCTCCATGAGAAAAAGCAAATAATTAATGTGCACACGTTGACCAAAACACTCAGGCGCAAAATAATTAATTTAATTTTTATGTTCCGAGAGAACAATTTAATTTGGTACTTTTTGCTCCTCAAATTTCTCAAATAAGATGCAATTAAGTTTGTCTTTTCACGTTTTCTCATGTTATGATAGTCTACAGCTAAGAATTGTGTGTTTAATTAATTTAGGAAATATTAATAATTTATCTGTGTTTTAACTCAATTAAAATTCAGTCATTAAAATTTAACTTATTTTAATTAATCTTTATAATTTTAATTTAATTATAACTCAATTTTTATAACCACATAAATACTGCTTCCGTAGGGAGAGCCTATGAAAATCCTTCCCAATAAAAGCTATCTTGTAGACCTTGCTTATTAGAGCACTTTCAAAGTGCTCTTGTATTCATGGGATCGTCTAGATAAAGCGCTCCAATAGCCCAAAAAAAAAGTGTCTAGGAAAAGCACTCCAATAGCCCAAAAAAGAGAAAAAGCGTTCTAATAGAATCTTTTTTTTTTTTATAATAGCATAAGACTAGAGTTATTTTTTTAAAAAAAACTTATAAACTAATGTTAAATTATATAATATTCCCCTCAATTTTGAATTACGTACATATAATTTTATTAACCTTTAAAACTTACAATTAAATCCCCTCAACTTTTATATTTATACAATCTATATGATCTGATAGTATTGGCTACTGAGTTTAAAATATTATAAAAGATATAAAAAATATCAAATTATAAACACAACTAACCGTTATATGAGGGAACCATAGTCGTGTTACACATGTTCATCCTTTCTCATTTGGCAGTTTTCTTTTTCATATCATCGCATTATTATTATTTTTGTTAAGAAAAGAAAAAGACCCAACTAGGGTCTATTGTTGCAAATTCGAATATAATCAATGCCTAGAGCATCATCTGGTGGATGATCTAGATTATGCACACCCATATTCGTGGCATTAGCCAAAGAAGCCAAGAAATTGGCATGTTTATTTCCTTCACAATGGATGTGATTAATCTTGACTTGCCACCCCCTATGTATAGTAGGGAATGGACCTGCAAAATCATTTTGCTGTTGGCATTCACATAAATAGTATCTTTTGACAAAAGATACACAGCTAGCAGGCAGTGAACATGTAAATTAACTTTTTCTAAAACCTTGCTCCCGCACCATATTTAAACCATCAGACATAACCCATAATTCTACATGTAAAGGGGTGCACATTGCGATAGCATCCATGGGTCCGAGAGCCATCATAACCCATAATTCTACCTGCTCGACCATCGTTGCTTGTGGCTGCACCATCACAATTATGAGTCACTTACTCTGGAGGCCAGTTAATGTTCTGCATAGACTTGGTTGATGCACTTCCCTAAGCTTTCCGGAGAGCAACCTCTCTTTAAGAGTAAAATCTACCAGCATGTACCTTAGCAACCAGCTAGTCCCCTTGCAAAGAACAATTTTGAAAGATAAATTTGCTACAAGCATCCAACAGTTTCCAAAAAATGAGACCAAAAGTAGAAGCCTAAGTAGATCTCATGTTATTATTAGCAGTACATCCATATAAATTGTGTAGCATCCACTTCTCCAATGGCTCAGTCAGAATTATTATATATATATATATATGTATATATATGAGATATGAAGAATAAAGACGAATGTATGTAGTAATAACTAATTTTTATATGATTTGAAAGCTATAGTTAAATTAAGATTATATATATATTTATAGAAAGGAAAAATTGTAAAAAAAAAAATGATGGTTGGGTTAAATGAGCTTGACTGAAATTAAATGTCGATTTAAAATAATCTAACTACATTTACATTGTAATTTAGTCTACTTGGTCGTTAGATTTTATTTACATGGTGATTATATTTGTTTATATGCTTTTGAACATACACATAACAAATTCACCAATAAGAAACCTATATTTTCATCAATTTCATTTGTTCTCACTTAAGTCTCCTCATGTGAAAATGGATTTTAAATTTAATTCTTAACTAATATTTCCATCCAAAATTAATCTCAAACCCTAAATATTTTGGCCACTTGGATATTTATAGCTGACCTAATTTCTTTTGCTCATGCATCACGTTTTATAAATGACTGTTGACTGGTCAAAGTCAACCACCAAACTTGTCATTATTGTAATTTTTTAACTGGATAATCATTTCCATTCTTCCATCCATACATTTCAGGAGTCACATTAAAGGGTTCACATCCACATCTGTATTTTTATTTCGAAAACTTCTATATAAAGTATAACCTGTATGTAGTTTTGCAAAACAAAAAAACAAAAAAGAAAAATAAAAAACACTCATAAACACACAATATTTCAAAAAAGGTAAAAGAGTAAATTGGTCCTTGAACTATAAATCCATGAACATTTGGGATTCTTAAACTCATTTTTATTACAATGTTCTCTTCAACTTTTGAAAACAATACAATCTGGCTCATACCATTAACAAAAGTCAATTTTAACTGTTAGTCGACGAGAAAATGATAGGAAAGAATCAATAAAATTTTTTTGGTCCTTTTATATATTTTTTAGGTCATTAATTGTCTGTAATTTTTGTGCTCTTTACTATAATTTCTTAGTTTTTTTCTACAATTTTTAGGGTTTTTTTTGTCATTTTTGATCAACTAACAGTCAAAGTTAACTTTTTATTAATGATAGGGCTAGATTGTACAATTTTTAAAAGTTGAAGAGGAATATTATATCAAAAATGTGTTTAAGATATCAAATATTCCTAAACTTATAGTTTAGGTACCAATTCGCTCTTTTACCCTTTTAAAAAACATTGTTTTAAAATAATTTTACAATACAAATGCACGCACAATATTTTAATTATAAAACACTATACTAGTATATTATTGAAAATAAATCATATACTTTTCATAAGGGTTAATAAGCAAATAGGACCCTGAACTAAAGAATCAAAAATCACCTTAGATCCAAAACTTTTAAAATATATAAAGTAAAATCTAAACTTTTAAATTCATAGCAAAATAAACACTGACTGTTAATTTTTTAATACCGTTATAGTCCATACAATTACTGTTTAGGGTTTATTTTTCTACAAATTTAACCTTGATTGTTACAGTACTCGCATGGACAATAATGATGTTAAAAAAGTTAACGATCAGGGTTTATTTTACTATGAATTTAAAAGTTTAAGGTTTATTTTACATTTTATAAGAGTTCAGGATTCAGGACAATTTTTTACTAGAAGTTGAGAGTCTTATTTGCTCATTAATCCTTTTTCATAATTAAAAAACAAATAGTTCAAAATTTGACATTACTTTTTTATTAAAATTTATGGTCTTTTATTAAAGGACATATCACATTTAGTGCGCGAATGTATATTTAAATAAGATTGTTTTCTACAGGAAAACACATGGGTGCAGTAAGAAAACAAAGTCAAAATAGAACAAAAACCTATGCGGGAAACCAAATAAAGAAAAAAAATCAAACAAACCATTTGCCAACCTCATTGGTTTAAGTTGTAGTTTATTTAATGCTGCTTGCTAAAGTGACCCAAAATCTATAAAAGTTAATTTTAAAATTTCCACCATCCTAGCTGCCAACAAAAAACTTAGCTAAAATAAACATGCCAATTTTCCGCATGAAAATCCCTATAAATACCTCCCCATTGCCTCTCATTTCCTCATCCCTCATTTCTTCATCAAACACATCTCACAACAAC